GGGACGCCAGAGGGCCCCGGTTCGGATCCCACATATGAGGGCCAGTGACACTGCCCTCTACAGCTAAGATGCTGAACAACAGCTCAATCTGGAGCTGGGCTCCCAAGAGTCACCAGCAATGGCGTAGGCTGCAGCCCCTGTGGCAGTGGGTTGCCATGGGCTACCGTATGCAGCCAGCAGCCAGTGTGAGGGCCAGCAGCCGCAGTGAGCGGCCAGCAGCCTCAGTGAACGGCCGTCCAGAAGCCGGCGACTGATCTGCCTCATGTGGGAAGAGCTCAATGATGGTGCCAATTTGGGCCAGTGAAGCAACGTCCTCCACAACTAGACTGAAGAACAAAACGACAGCAACTTGTCTGTTCCTCTTCCCCCAACTCCCCAGCGCTGTTCCCATTCCCCAATTCCCCAATAAAAATCTTTAAAAAAAAAAATTCAAGCATTAAGCATCCCCAAAGGATGTACTGTTTTTAGCTTTTAATGATAAAAATATTTTTATATGTTCTCACATTTTTTAAAAACCTGGTTTTCTCCCATTCATTCACACTTCATTCATCAAAATGTAGTCAGCTGGGCTAGAAGGACAAGAAGAGATCAAATCGTATGATTGGTTTGTAAATAGTTGAAAAATCTGTGTTAGCCATTTGTGATTTGTCCTTTAAGACGGGACCTTGAGCCTATAAAAAATTGAAGTAGAACCTGAACGTGGCAAAATGTGTTTGCTTTTCTTACATAAATCTGTTTGTCTGTGTGTGCTGTAAAATGGCATTATTCCTCCATTGGAAATTGCACTTCCTACGCAACATTCATCATTCTGCCTTCCTCACAGACTTCCCTAACTAAGCAAAGTTCAAAATCCCTACTGCATTTGTAGTCAAGCTCATGGTGAAACCATTAATTTAGTTCCCCACTTGGGAACATCTGAGATGAGCTCCAAGATAAGATTCTTTTCAAAAATACATGTAACAATTAGCCAACACAAAATGTAGCTATGGATAACTTCTGAGTTGCCCTTCTCAGAGCAAACTGTCAAGTAAAAGAGAAAGCCAAAACTCAAAAACAACAGAAAAGGAAGACAAATACTGGAATTTTTTATTTAACAAAATTCAAAGGTGATCTATGTAGAAGCACTGATATTATAGACAAATAGAGTGCTTCTGAGATGCCCATAAGGACTTACCAGATTAAGGAGTGTCAAGTATTTCCAACGTCCTCCATTTACAAAGATTTTGGATTTCTGCAGATCCTCTCTTTCTGGTGAGATGTAATAATTGAGAAAAATATACCAACACAAAACAAGGAAGTGGTATATGCACGTAGCAGTCCTTGTCATGGCTGGCTCTGACCAGGGAACTGTGAAATGTCTTAAGTGGCTTTCCTCTGGCAGGCGTTCTTCTTCTGAGTCAGAGCTGAAGTCCTACAGCAGGTCGGAGAGCTGTGAAACACACTTCCCTGGGACTGAGGGCTCCAACGAAACAGCTTTGCTTCTCTCATAGGCTCCCTTTCTGATACACTTTGGTGACAGGATCACTGCTTGTTTTCAGATGTCCTGTTTAGATAACAGGTAATCTGCAGATTTACATAAAGGCAGGGAGCAATGCACGAGATGCACTTTGTACTGCTTGACTGGTTAGGGAGCGTGGTGAAGTGACTTTAATATGAATAGCAATAAGCTCTGATGAAATACCGTCATGACTGTGTTCTCTTGCCTTTTCATTTGCGCAGAACAAAGAAGACGCAATAACATCTCTTAAGAGAATGGGGAGCAGGTTAATAAGCCAGGAGGGAGAGATTGTTGGCATGTTTAGGACATGGAGGGAGATAAGTAGAAAGGGAAATGGGGAAATGGTGTTACAATCTTGCTTCTGAGGTCCCTGAGGCCCTGTAAAATCTGAAACAACCTTTGATTTTCCTGGAAGCAGCCCCAAGGGTGTGTGTGGTGGGGGGCGGGGGTGTATCTATGCCCTAGAGAACCAAAGGTCATCCAGGGCTGTTCTAAGCACTTCACTTGCATAGGTGTTTCTATGACCTGGGAGGGAAGAAACATAGCCAGTGGTCTGTGGCCAAAGAAGGAAGTGGTCTGTGGCCAAAGAAGCATAGGAAGAAGTGTGTGGTTGTGACCCAAACATACCTGAGTTTAGACATTGCTGAGAGACACTGAGGGTCTCTGCATTGCTTTGGAGAGAATGGGAATGTGTGTAGGTTAGGCAGAGTTTCAAGAACTGAGTCTTGCCTCCAGCTGGACAGAAGGAACCTGAGAGACAGCTGAAGGTGTGATGCCTTGTGACATCACCAGCCTGTTTCTCCCGGCAACTGATTCAGAGGGTTCTAAACAAACTCTTCAGGGAAATGCTCCCAATGCAGTTATGCAGGTTTGTAGTTAGTGCTGTCTGATGATTTAACCAGGATGTACAAGTATTGGGGAGAAAGAACTGCAGGCTGCACATGGAGGACAAAACAAAACAAACTCACCTCCTAAGAGTTGTCAGATCCTAAACCTTAGGAACTGCAGATGGAGGCGAGCACACCTGAGTCAGCAATAAAGGGTCTGCATTGCAAGCATTCTCCAAGGAGAGGATGACCTGGGAAACGGGTGGCGGAAAACTCTGTACCCAACTTCATGGCCTAGGTTACCAGAGTAGCCAATGCATTCACACTACTTACTATATGACAAGCATTCTTCCAAGTGCTTTATACATACTAACTCATTTACACGCTAAACACCACTATGAAATGAGTACTATTAGAATCCTCATTTTCAGATGGGGAAATTGAAGCCCAGGCTGCTTAACAGAATATATTCAAAGACTAAGAGGCAGAGCTGCAGTCTGTACTCTAACCAATGTGCCTGCACACAAAGAAGCAATGCTTGCTCTGCACACCCTCAGACTCCCTTTGCACTTCTTCAGTCCCTGCCAACCCCTCTTAATGCCTGTTTCTCTGCCATCAGAAAACTGTGTACCCACCTGTGTAAAAGAAGTATGTATTTCTCCATTTTACTTTTTATCCAATCACAGAGATTTGTCTGCCTTGCTTTCTCCCTCCTCAACCTACCACCAATTGATTTGATATAATCTTCCTTACATTCCCTCCTTTGATTCCAAATGCATAAAAAGAACTACAAAACTGCCATTCTCTGGATCATTTTCTCCATCTGTTGAGAGCTTGCTCCTAGGCATGTCCTCATTTTGTTTCAAATAAACTCATAAGATTTTCTCTAGGTTTGGATGTTCTTACGTTGAAAACTGAAATGTAATTATGCAGCACATGACTATATATGAGGAGTCACACATAGAAAATATATAGTTTCTTTTTTTTAAGATTTTATTGGGGAATTGGGGTAGGGGAACAGCGTTGGGGAATCAGGGAAGGGGAACAGACAAGTTGCTATCCTTTGGTTCTTCATTCTAGTTGTGGAGGACGTCACTTCACTGGCCCAAGTTGGTATTATGATCATTGCACTCTTCCCAGGTCAGGCAGATCGGTCGCTTGCCATTGGACAGCCGCTCACGGCGGCTCTTGGCAGCTCACACCGGCTGCCAGCCACTCACGGTAGCTTACGGCAGCCCACTGCAGTCCCACTGCAGCCCATGCAGTCGCCGGAGACTCACAGCAGCCCAGCTCCAGGTCGAGTTGTTGTTCACCATCTTAGCTGTAGAGGGTGCAGTATTACTGGCCCATGTGGGATCTGAACCAGCAGCCCTACTGCTCAGAGCTCGCTCTCACAAGCCAACTCTTAACCAACAAGCCACTTGGCCGGCCCAGAAAAATATGCAATTTCTTAATTCAATGTATTTTCTTATAAATTTTTCTATGAAAGTATTGCTTAAAGGAAATTCTGCAGTATGACCATATTCACATCTTAATTTGCATCCATGGTTGACTAACCAGATAAATTTTCAAGAAACACTTTGGCCATTTGCTCCCTGGAGCTTTGGGGAGTAGGTGGAGCTTTGGGGAGCAATGACAGTGTCACCACTTAGCTACACAATATTACAAACAAATACATAGTAAGTCTGCTGTCAGCCTTCCCTTATCCACTCTCCAAGTATTTGGAGGCCTTGTGTTATATCCAGAAGAAATTGGAGAGATTTGTTCACTGACTTAAAAACTGACAGAGATTTAATTTTTTTTACATAGGAAATACTAAAAATATACAATAAGCATATTTTACGCTTGGACTTGAACAATTACAGAGATAACTTGATTATTAAAAGTGACATTCTTTGAAACTCTCTACCCTCTGGGAGTTTGGAACACCATTCTTGAATTTTGTAAATACTTATTGAGCAACTACTAATTACCAGGCACTTGCTGGGTTCTGGGGATTCCCTAGAGAATAAGAGATCCAGTCTCTGCTGTCCTGGAACTTATATTCTAGCAGGAGAGACAGACATTTAATAACACAATCAGGTGTTGATTTAGTAGCTTCTATGAAGGACAAACACAGAGGACTTATTAGAGGGTAACAGTACCAGACTTAGGCATTCAGGGCGAGGCTGGCCCTGGGAAAACCACATGAGAACAAGGCTCATCCCCTTAATGCTCCCCACAAGCTCGGATTGTCCTTATCAGGGTTTGTTTTTTTCTGTTGTTCCTGTTGTTTTGTTTTGCTCTATGTGTGTGTGTGTGTGTGTGTGTGTGTGTGTGTGTGTGTGTGTGTGTGTGTGTGAACTTCTCTACCTCCACCAGCTCCTAACGTTTTGGTATTTCCCAGGGAGCTGGGTCACCCACTGCCCATCTCACACTACATGCTCACCCTGGTGATGTGCCCACTATCATGGTATCTACCACTGCTTTCTAGCTTATGATTACAAATTGTGTACCTCTAGCCCTGGTCTCCTCTCAGTCCCCATCAAGCTTCAAGCACATCTTCAACTACTTATTGGATGCCTCCTGAATGAATCAGGTGCACCTCAAACTCAAAACATCTAAAATGAACTCACTTCCTTCCCTCAAACCTGGTCTTTCTTCTCTATTCTCTGACTTTTGAGGATGACCTCATCAACCTCTTGTCTTCCTTATCTCCTCTCTCTCCCTTACATCCCAAATGCAATTAACCACCAAATCTTGCGAAGTGCATCTCCCAAATCAAGCTCAAATCAGTTCTTTTCTGTCCATTCCCTTCTATAACTGTCTGAGTTTGTTTTCTTCCTTTCTTTTCAGCACCATGGTAACTGTCTTCTAACTGGTTTTCTTGATTCTAGTCTTATCCCCCAACTGTCTTCTTCACAAGGCCAAGGAGTGATTCTATCTGGAATGCCAATCTCACCACATCCCTCCTCAACGTAAATCCCTTTACTGAATCAATATCACCTATCGGATAAGATCCAAGTTCCATAACTTTTAATAAACTTCCCACTTCCATCTGGGCTTTGGTACTCTCTCCAGCCTCATCTCTGGTCTCACACTTGATGTTCCTCCAGTAACACCTAATTGGCAGAGTTTTCCACCCATGCCTGGTTATGTCGTATCCCATTGCCTTCACTCCCACTGTCTCCTCTTCCTGATGGCCTCTTCTCAACATGTCTTTGACTGGTTATCGTATAACCATCCTCCAAAATGCAGTTCAGCTGTTTCCTTCCCTGAGCCTCAACCAGACCAAATTAAATACCCTGCATCCTTTGCTACTCCGTGTATCTCTGCAAATTGCATGATGATTAGTGTCTTCATCCATTCAGTGTGCTATAGCAAAAATACTATAGACTGGGTAACATATAAACAATGGAAACTTATTTCTCACAGTTCTGGTTGCTGGGGAGGCCAAGATCTAGGTACCAGCAGATTTGGTGTCTGGTGAGAGCTCTTCCTTAGATAGTTGTTTTGTCACTGTATCCTCACATTTCAGAAGGAGCGAGGGATCTCTCTGGGTCCTAATCCCATTCCTGGGGGCTTCACCCTCGTGACCTAGTCATCTTCCAAATGCCCACCTCTTAATACCATCACCTCAGCAGTTAGGATTTCAACATATGAATTTTGGAGAAACAAAAACACTTAGTCTATGACAACTAGGGATTAATCTTTCTATGTGCCATCATCTCCCAGGGTTCAGAGGTGGTGTGCTTAGAGTCCTAGAGCTTAGCATAGTGCTGAGCACACAGTAAGAACTTCATAAATATGTGATGACTAAATGAATATGTGAGTACCAGGAGTGTTTGCATACTGAGCCTTACTATAAAGTCAGCTCATTCATTTAAAACCTACTATGTTCAAAGTGTTTCGCTGCTGGATTCTGGAGGGGAGGCAGAATACTAAGATGAGTAAAACATAGTCTAAGCCCTGGAGTAACTCAGTCAAATGTCAGAGACAGATATGCAAACAAAAAATTACAGCACGATGTGATAAGTACTATAATAGAGGTATGTATAACGTACTAATGGAGCCTAAATTATCCTGCACATTATTCTGTCATTCTAAATATTCAGAAGATTGAGTCAAAGACAAATGCTTTGAGTAAATCATGGGAAACTCCAGACACCGCATAAGAGAAGATAAGGATTAAAATAATATCACTGAGCAAAGTAGTCGCAGCCCCAAGCACAGGTAACAAGTGTGCCTGGTAGAGCTTATACCTCATTCCTAGGTCATTCACAGAATGATGAAATACAAA